AGAACCGGGGAAATATGTCATGGTCATAATTCTGACGCTTTGACAGACTCAACCACCAGTCGATCAGGCGAATACAACACCTCCTTCTACTTTGGAAGTGATGTCTGATCAAATTACTAATGCACACCCTAACCAACCTATCATGAGTTTGATAGTATGGAACTGTAGAGGCTCACAAAATGCGGAATTTAGGTGCTAATTCCGCTCTCTTCTAGATAACCATAGGCCAGTCCTTGTAGTACTATTAGAAATACACATGCAAGACCACACTAATATTAGGGATGACTTCCAGTTCACTGATATGTCTTAAGTCTCAGCCAATGCGCTCTCTGGAGGTGTAGTTATTCTGTGGCATCGCAATTTAGATAATGTGGATAAACTTCGCATGTCTGAGCAAGAAATACATTGCATGGTTCAGGTATGGCCTTTTACTAATAAATGGATTTTTTCTTCCATTTATGCTAGCACGTCTATTACATCTCGTAATATTCTCTAGAATAATTTAATATATTTACAAGACAACTATAAGGGATTGTGGCTAGTAGGAGGGGACTTTAATGAAGTTCTACGGTCTGCTGAGACATTTTAGGGAAACCCTATTAGCAACAGACATGCAGATTCATTTACAAATGGTGTTAACTACTGTAACCTTATAGTAGGTTTTAAGGGTAGTCTCTTCACATGGTTTAATAAGCGTTGCCACGGTTACACCATTCTAGAAAGGCTGGATCGCATTCTAGCAAACTATGAATGGCTTAAACTTTTCCCAGAAGTTGTGGTTCAACACCTACCTCGAACTCATTCTAATCATTGTCCATTACTAATATCTTTAGAAGCAAAGCGTACTCCTCATAAAAATATTTTTCGTCTAGAAACTATCTAGGCACCTCACTCTTCTTATCGTTCACTAGTTAAACAAACTTGGAGTAATCATCCTTCACTTTTAGATTCAACCCAAGTTTTCCAGCAAGATGTCCTTATTTAGAATAAAGAAACCTTTGAAGATATATTCGTTAAAAAAAAGCTTCTTGCTCGATTAAATGGAATTCAATCATCCATTCATTATCACACGAGTAGTTTCTAACAAAATCTAGAGATCCAACACACAAATGAATTCAGGAGTATACTTAGGTCAGAAGAAGATTTTTGGATGTTAAAATCTAGAATAAATTGGCTAAATGACGGAGGCGCTAACAATAAGTTCTTCCACATGACGACCTTACAAGGACGTAGACGAAATCGTATTACCACTCTTCAAGATAGTGTAGGCAACTGGTGCTTTGACCCAACAGAAATCCAAAATTCTATCCTTCGATACTACAATACCCTCTTCGCTACTAACAAGCCTTTTTCGATAGACTTTACTCTCCTGTTTATAATAGTTGCTTAAGTCTTGCTGATCAAGCCACTTTATCCTCTCCTCTCAAGGATATTGAAATTACTCAAGCCCTCTTCTCCTTTAAACCGTTTAAATCCCCAGGACCTGATAGCTTACACCCATATTTTTTTCAAGATTACTGCTCAGAAGTGGGTTCAGATATTACTGCTTTTTATAACAAAGTCTTTGTGGATAACACAATTCCCCTTGAAATAAATAAAACTTATTTGTGCTCATACCCAAGACAAAAAATGATGTCTCAATTGCTCAATTCCGATCAATTAGCCTTTGCAACACTATCTATAAGATAATTACGAAAATTTTAGTCAATCGGCTCAAGCCCCTATTACATAAAATTATAGGATCCACTCAATCCAGTTTTCAACAAGGAAAGCACGCTTCGGACAACGCAATCATTGTCCAAGAAATTCTCACACATTTGCACAAAACACGGGGTAAACAAAGCCATACGCTTCTAAAACAAGATCTAGAAAAAGCCTTCAACATGTTAGAACGGTCCTCCATTTGTCGTACGCTCTTCTTTTTTAATATCCCACCCTCAATAATTACGCTAATCATGTCTTGCATCATGACCACATTAACCTCAATATTGGTAAATGGCACAAGGACAAATTTTTTTCAACTGTCTCAAGGCATCCGCCCACGCGATCCCCTCTCCCCCTATATTTTTATTATGTGCGTGAAAATATTTTCACATAGCATCTCCACATCGGTAGACTATCGTCTCTGGAAGCCTATTAAAATTTCATGAAATGGAACTGAACTCTCTCATCTTTTTTTGCCGATGACATCATTCTGCTCTCTAAAACAATAAAAGTTGTCATGCCATAATTGACACGCTTAATAACTTTAACAAAATTTCAAGTCAGAAAATAAATTTCTAAAAGTCAAAGATTTTCTTCTTAAAGAATTGCACCAATAGTGATAAGGCCTATGTGCTCTTATGCTTTAACATGACTGAAGGGATAACCTTTGGAAAATACTTAGGATTTCCCATGTTCGTCAAGAAACCACAAAAATCCGACTTTCAATTCCTCCTTGACAATTTCAAAATTTGCCTTGCACGCTGGAAGACTAAGTTTCTATCCCTAGACGGGAGAACAATATTGATCAAATCCACGCTTAACAACCTTCCTAATCATGTAATGCAATACATTTCTATTCCAAAATCCATAATAAATAAAATGGAGCAATATTAAGAAACTCCGCAAAAAGAAACTCCATTTAATACAATGGAAAAATATAACCACCCCCTGCAAATTTGGAGGATTAGTCATACAAAAAATATCTCTTAAAGTGATGCTTTACATGCTAGTCTCTCCTGGCGGCTCTTCCATAAACCAACTGCACTTTGGGCAACAACACTACTTCACAAATACTGTTTTACACATTCTTCCACTAAAACTCATTCACACACCTGGAAGAACATTCTCCAGGGCTGGTCACACTGTCAATTAGGCTTACAATGGCACATAGGCAATGGCCAACATATAAAATTCTGGACCGACGTTTGTGTTGGAGCTGCAACCATCATGCGCTCTACCATCTCTGGACCCTTGCTAGAAGAAGACATCAACCTCACAATCTCATCATATAGAACTCAATCAGGCTAGGATTGAAAAAAAATTCCTTTCGAAATACCTCAATATATCAAAGCCCTTATGCAAAATCAGCACTTTCCTGTATACAAAAAGAACATTGATAATATATTCTGGGCTTTGACAAACAATGGTTTATTCTCAGTACAATCCATGTACACTTCTCTCCTTAATGACGCGTCTTCAATTAATGCACACCAACCTGAATACAAATGGATTTCGAAGCTCCCAGTAACCTCAAAAATTAGGTCTTTCATATGGCTCCTTAGCCATAACCGTCTACCTTCTCGCTACTATCTCCACCGCATAGGTTTGCTAACTGAGGCGAATTGTTTATAGTGTCAAGACCCTAATGAAACACTCAACCACATCTTTCAGACATGTCCTAATGTACAAAACTACTGAAAAAATCTAGGTCTACAAGCTAGAACTAATATGTTGAATCGATTTCCCACTTTATCTTTGTGGCTTCATCTACTTTTCAATAGAAGAAATAAACATATGCCCCATAACCTCCATCCACACAAAATTCCTCTCCTTTAGTTTATGGAACATCTGGACTAATCGGAATACAAATTCTTTTGAATATAGAAAAAATAATGTCCCTGCAGATCATATAATCAATCAAGCTATAGAAATTACTTATTGTGCGACCAAAGTCTATTGCTAAAACTCCTAAAGTACAAAGTAATGTCAAATGGATTCCTCCAAAACCAAATTATTACAAATTAAATATTGATGGAGCAGTCTCTCATCCATCTGGAAATTCCGGCATATGGGGGCTCATTCGGGATGCTAAGGGAACTTGGATTACGGGGTTTGCAGGTAATATCACTACAAAAAACAGCATGGAAGCATAATTACAGGCACTTTTTCATGGATTACAGTTAGCAATTAAGTTTAATTTGGTTTCACTTGTAGTAAACATTGACGCTTCAGAGGTAATCATAGTTTTAAGAAATGAAAATCTGCTCTACACTAATATCATCTATGATTGCAGACACCTGCTTCACCAGCTCCATGATCCGCATCTCATACATGTGTACTGAGAGCAAAACGGGGCAGCAGATAGGTTAGCCAAGCAAGGTTGTACGATGGAGTACTCAGCAGCACCAACTATTTTTGTCTCACCACCCATTTTTGTTATCGAACAACTAAGAGCATATCAGTCAGGCGCTACAACTCTCCGGAAAGTACCACCCGCTCAAGTATGGCAATCTGTCAGGCTTGACACTGAAACACCACCTTTTGCTTCACATCCGGCGGATTTGTTGGCAACAGACATTCACCCTCTATAGCATGGTGTTGTACATGGAGTTACTATAGTAGAAACTCCCCATTTGGTAATGATCCTTTGGATCAACCCTCCACAATAGATGTTAGTAGCAGTTCTACTAGTAGTATTTGTAGTATTAGTACTTTTGTGCATCCTCATCATCAACCTCTCTGCAGGAATGCATCTTTATAATTAATATAAGCTTATCTTTCCTACCCAAAAAAAAAGATGAATCTCATGACTATCAGTGTTATGATCAAAGGTGCAATTAAATTGCCCTTAAGGCTTGAAATGTGGCTCAAAACATGTTGAGCACTTCGCGTTGCTTAGTGGGCACTCCAGTGTTGTGAGCAAGGCTCTAAAACATTTTTTTCCTTGTCAATGAACGTAATCCTGAAGAGGCAACACTAAACAATGTATATTTCACTTAATCGTAAATTTTCTTCAATTTCTTTGTTGATACACGCGTACAGATATTAGTTATATAGTTTTTCTCGCCTTTCTTCATTAAAGCCAACGTTTTAAATGCGCTTTGAGCTAAAAGCCCCAACAGACCTTAAAGTTTTTTGTGTTTTTCGCTTTTGGTAACACTTATGACTATGAAGATGGGTGTATCCAGTTGGGATGTGAGCACATATTTTGTACTGAATCGAACTCATATATTAATCTCCTTTAATTCATTCATAAATGAAATTCGCATTACATTACAATTTCTTATATATAGGAATAAACCGACTAAATCTCCATTTTCTAGTCATTACTAATTCAGTCACCATAGAACATATATATATCATATCCTGAAAATTTAACTTTTTTCAAGACTCCTAACAAGTGAGATTATTCCCAGTATCTACACCAAGTTGCTGACAAAATTCGGTGTAATATTGAATCCTTCTGGCAACAGGTTCTGGATTTCCACCATTACACTCGAGCGGACCATTAATGGCTCGAATCGTCGCCCCGAAACCTTGCCCAGAAGTTATGAGAGCATGGCAATTGTTCATCCAGTACCACAGGGCAGTTTTGATTGATATCAGACTGTCTCTAGCCACGATATCAGGGTCATTTAGGCCGTCGAATCCGTTGTCTTTCCCCGCCGGTCCATAGTTGAANTGTCAACTTTTGATTTTGCATTCACTTTAAGAAAAAATAAATGAAGTATGTATTTCATAATTTACCCATAATAATGATAGTTTTTCCAAAAGTCTTGGGAAATGTTTTAGGGAATGAGTAGTTAATGGTAAGGGTAAAACATGAACAAAAGATTATCTTTCTCTTGATTTAGTATGATGGACAAGTAAAAGTGAAAATGTATTCTTAGTATAGTGCACAAATAAAAGTGAACTGAAGGAGTACTATACAATTAATGTTATATGGAAAATGTTTGTCTTGTAGCCGTGAAAATGTGTGCAATAGTATACAAGGTTGTAACGAACAGTACAAAATTTTTTACACAATCAAGTCACTTAGAAGTGAATTATATGTAGTTTTTATGGCAAGTATATATTGGTAACTTGCAGGACATGATAAATGACTTATTACATCCGGTGGCGGAGCTAAGAATATATAGATCCACCCCCGTTTTTATGTGATCTGATACTGAATTTTTTTTTACGATATTAGTATATAAAAGGTAAACTAAAAAAGGGAACAAACAAAGCATGAGAAGGTTGTAAGAAAAAAGACTCACGTCCAGTCTCATGGGTAACATGAGCAAAGAAAGCAGCAATTTCACGCTTATTATCATCAGAAGAACCATCAGTTCCAAATCTAGGATAAGACCTGAGAGCTTCAAGAAAGGCAGCTCTTGTGTAAAATCCTTTGCCTTCACAGTTTGGAGCAGCTTGATTAGCAATTCCATTGAAGAATGGTTCTGAAACAATTTGAGAAACTGATGAAATTCCATAATTTGCTGTAATAAAACAAGGCCCTCCTTTGCAGCCTTGACCACAATATGCATTCCCAGTGCCACAATAACCCCATCTGCTACAGCACAAGCCTTCCGCACACCCACAGTTTTGAGCCAAGATTAATATTGGAAAAAATATGGCTATAGTGTAAATAAATAAAAAGAAGTGATTTCTTGAACTAAAGTTAATCATTTTTTGGTGAGGAAAAACAAAAAAAAAAAGAGACTTCTTTAATGAACTAGAGTGGATATGGAGGAAAGATTAAAACATAAAACTATTTATAGAAGCAAAAAGGGTGAGCCGGTTATGTAGAAAGTTGTTTAAGATTTCAGCAACTTTAGTGTGAACATTATAGGTATAGATCGACTTTTGATTAGTTTGAGTATTGCAATTTATTAGGAAGGATATGGTTATTCATAACTCAACTCATAGAGTCTGGCTGTCTGCCTAACGCTCTACCTATTAAAAATATGGGACACTTACACTGTATAGCCACTTTTTAGATAATAATTGAAAAAATATATTTTTTTGTATATTTTGTATATATATATATATATGTTATATACAAAAAATGTACAAAGTTTATATATTTTTTCGGCTACGGAATATAAATATCTTTTCCCTAAAAAGGTTACTTGATCACAAGAACCCCTTGACGCTTTTTGATAAATTGCAAAGACCTACCTTCAAGTTTCTAAGAATTAATGGTAACTTCGCTCTTATTTCAGGTTGTTCGGAAGCGTCCCTACTCCCTTGACAAGATAAATGCTTATGTATGTGTTTATGGCTAGTACTGTAATTCGTACATGATAAAAGAAGTCAATTTTCGTACAACTGTTTGACTCAAAAGATATTAGAACTTTTTTGAACAAACCAATCAAAGAGAATGAAGGGGTAAATCTTAGTCAGACATAATAAATTCCAGATCAAAAAGCTAATAGTATAGATAGTACATAGGATGAAAGAGATATAGTTGATCTTATTGAAATTCAACATTGTGACTCCCATCAATCGATGGGGAAGATAGCTTTACATGTTTTTCTACAAATTACTTCTTTCCTATGAAGATTACAAGAAGAGAGCTTGGAAGAGAAAAAGGGGGAAGATCCCTCCTTTTATCGAGGGTTTTCCCCCACTATATATAGTCAAGGCATCTTTGCCACGCTCTCTCGCACCAAGTGTGTCTTGGTCGTTCTTTTAGACATTGCTCCTTCTGACTCGACGGGTGTCGAGAATGGGATATAGAGTGGGCGATGTTATCTTTTATTGTTCGGTCACTTAGGCGGGATGTTGGTCAGCTCGGTCGTGACGGTCAGATTTTGACCAATACAGTTAGTCCCTCCATCTGTCGGGGTCGTCCCCTGTTGGGCCCGGCAGACGGATCATGATTGCTATGAATTCGAGTGAAATCTGACTTCTCGTTCCTTAGTTACGTTACTTGAGTTTAAGGCGAGGTGTCGGCGCTCTTTCGATACCCGTGAACCGTTGTGGCTGTTTCGAAACCGAAACGTCGTTTGGCATCAAAGCGTTATTTCGTGGTTACCGCCATTATGACACACGTTCCTGGGGAACTGAAACATTTCGTGCCCTATCAGGTTCTATTAGCGACTCTTGGGTTTCGTGCTCGAGGGATTTATGTCTCTTATAAATAGAAGGAACTTATCATTCGATTGACACACTTCTTTGCCTTTTACTCGAAAGAATTCTGCAGGTATACTTTCTTCCTAACGCTCCGAGTTTTCGTTTGCCCTTAGTTAACTGAAAGTTTTCATCCTTTCTTTCCGTTGTCTTTTTGCCGCATCTTCTGGACAAAATGGCTGGTGATTCCTCTCGCACCGATCTCCCTGTCACAATTCTGGCACCGAAAAGTGTTGCTCAGGCCACTGAAGGGGTCGATGCGGTGGAAGACGAGGAGGTCCCGTCGATAGTTGAGATTTTGCCTTGCCTTGGGAGAGAATTAACCGACTTCAGCATTCGCGCCGGGGCGGAGCCGGAGCCTGTCCCTTCTGTTATGAGAGAAGAAGACATTGCAGAGTTGAAAACCAGGTGGGGGATCCCCGGCTACGTCGATATGCGACCGGCGGTAGGAAACGACATAGTTCATTTTGACCGCCCTAGGTAGTGTGTATTTTACGCCTACCCCTTCCTTATTGGATACACACTTCCTCTCCCTATCCTGGTGGTAGACTTCTGCAGTTTTTATGAGGTATGCCCCGATCAACTTTCGTCGTACATGTACAAGTTGTTCCTTATGTTGCTCAAGTTTTCGGAACTCGCCGGTCGTGAGATCACCTTGGATCACCTACTCAGTATCTTCGCCTCTCAGCTCATCCGCGGCACGATGCTTCACATGCGTCCTCGAGGGTTGAAGAGTCTGGTGGTAAAAATGGACGACAGGACTAACCGTCATTTTTATGAGAATTATTTTTATGTGCGGACTAAGCACATTGTGGCAGATCCGATGGGGTTCCCTGAGAAATGGAACTTTGCACGTAAGTTTCATGCTTCTAGTCGGAGATATATTCGACCATTTTTCGTTACAGTACTAAACCCTGTTATGTCTTTGCAGCTGAGAAATTGCCTCCTCCACCTGTCGAAAATATCCGTGAATGGGTGAGCGCTATTCTCCCTCATATGGCGGGGGTCCGCACGTGGGCGGCCTTCTATGACAAGTATGGGCGCAGGCCTCTTTCTAGTAATATGTTGTTTCTGTTCACCATTTTTCTTTTTTCCCTCTTTGTATTTAATTCCTCACTTGTTGTTCGTTGGTGTCAGGGAGGGTGCGGAGAGTGAGGGCTCCTCCATTAGCTTTTCGGCAGCCAGCCTCATCTACTCACCCTATCACGGTACCCACTGCCCGACCTTCATCAAGGACTGCTTCAGTCGAGTCTGCGGCCATGGTTACTCCTGCGAGGGCTGCTTCTCAGGCCGAAGTTTGACTCGTGTCGTTCGCCCTTCGGGTGAATCTCTGCCTACTAGGGAAGAAGAGGGGCCATCAAAAAGATGGCGAGTGGAGTTCGAGACAGCGCCTCCAATAGTGATTCATCTAGACGACTCTCCATCGACGGGATCTGGAGAGGGGGTTATCCCCCCCCCCCCCCATAGAGACGGAACCAGTCGTTGCCTCGGCTCAATCAGAGATTCCCACCATTGTCGGTGGTCAGCAACCTATCGTGGAGGAAGGTCAGATTTCTGGGGCCGTTGTTGTAGTTGCCGAAAGAGGAAAAGGCATGGTGGTCAACGATTACGAATCCGAATCGTACCTCGACTCTGATGATGTCAGGATGTTTGAGGAGGGCCTTACTCACTTGGTGGTTCGTGCGGGAGGCTCAGCCCGTATTTTTGAGATCCTTTCGGATGTCAATCTCTTGCGGGACACGGAGGATCTGGTGCCGCAGTTCAGCATGCTATGCTCCGCATCCGAGAATGCGGCCCTTCGGACCATTCTTGATGCTGACTTGATGGACGAGGTGGCCGCTATAGGCTTAAGGGTATGTTACGCTTACTTTCGCTTTTCCCTTATCTTTCTTGATGATAGGATTCTAACCCATCTTTTCATTTTTCAGACATATATGATGGAGGTGGAGAGCATTCGCAGGGCCAACATTTGGGCCAAGATTTTCTTGAAGATGTTGGACAAATACCGTCGCTATCGCAACAAGTGTCGCGAGATGCATGAGCGGCTGAAAGCAAACCCCGGTAATCCGGCTCTTGGTGAGGAGTTGGAGAAAATGGACCAGGAATTGATGCAGGCTATCCGCAGCAAGAGTGTGCTTGAGGAGCAACTTCGAATAAAGGACGAGGAGCTCGAGTTGGGCAAGGGGGTCGCCACAGAGTGCGAGCATCTGCAGGAGAAATTGAGGTCAATGCAGTCGAAGATGGATCAGAACTTGATCAAGGTCGAGGCGCTGAGCGCGGAGTGGACGGGAAAATTGGTTGGACTGGAGAACAAGGTTGTTGGGTTGGAGAGCATCGAGAGTGCTTGGTCCGCGGCTTCGGCGAGGACGGCGACCCTGGAGAACACCATCCGCGTCCTCCAGTCCGATAAGGAATTGGAGAGAGCGATGGCCACCCTTATGGAGTCAAGGCTTGAGGAGCGAATTAGCGAGATTGACCGAGAGGCATCGGTTCTGGGAAATTCGGTCACAGCATTGAAGGTAGAAAATGAGCGACTGTTGGCTCAGATTGAATCTTCCTCCTGCCGTTCCCCACCATATGCACGAGTTTTGGGATTACACCGAAGCCCAGCGAATATATACAAGAGTTTGTGGGAGGCGGGTAATGTGACTGAGGCTACATATAAAGAGGCGCGGGTGAAAGCGCGGGAGGCTCACGTCAATTGAGGATATGACACGGCGACTCCAAAAGCCAATGAGGGCACGGACGCTATAGGAGAACTTCCCGGAGATGATAGTGGAGAGGGTGGAGATGATGATGCAAAGTAAAGGGATGGTGATATTAATCTGTTTTCAGTTTGTTGTTTTCTTCCCCATTTTTCGTTCGTAGTCGATTGTCGTTGTTCCTTTCTTCTTTTTTCCCTTTGTTTTTTTGTTTTTTTATTGTTGACTTGGGCCTTATGTAATCCGTGACCATTTGCGCGGAGACTTTGTATAAAGAAGAATTTTTCGTTGTTATTTGTCTTGTATTCTACCCTTGTTTTCCTTTCGCGTGATTTTGGTGAGAGATAGATTCCCGCACGGCGAGTCCCGGTCTTTTTGCACTTTCTGATGGTACTTGGCCTTATAGGGTGTTATTTTGAACTTATCGAAATAGTAATCGGTTGTCGTTCGATCGAGGTCGAACTCTTCTTTTTGGCGAAGGCCCCTGGCCTTAAAGGGTGTTATTTCGAACTTATCGAAATAGTAATCGGTTGTCGTTCGATCGAGGTCGAACTCTTCTTTTTGGCGAAGGCCCCTGGCCTTAAAGGGTGTTATTTCGGACTCATCGAAATACTAACACGTCGTCGTTCGATCGAGGTCGAACTCTTATTTTTTGGGAAGGCCCTTGGCTTTAAAGGGTGTTATTTCGAACTTATCGAAATAGTAACCCGTCATCGTTCGATCGGGGTCGAACTCTTGTTTTTGGCAAAGGCTAGCCTTAAAGGGTGTTATTTCGAACTTATCGAAACAGTAACCCGTCGTCGCTCGATCGGGGTCGAACTCTTCTTTTTGGGGAAGGCCCTTGGCCTTAAAGGGTATTATTTCGAACTTGTCGAAATAGTAACCCGTCATCGTTCGATTGGGGTCGAACTCTTCTTTTAGGCGAAGGCCCTTGGCCTTAAAGGGTGTTATTTCGAACTTATCGAAACAGTAACCCGTCGTCGCTCGATCGGGGTCGAACTCTTCTTTTTGGCGAAGGCCCTTGGCCTTAAAGGGTGTTATTTCGAACTTAT